AAGTCTTGGAAAAGGCTTTGAAAGTGGTGTAGGCCTAGAGGGGAGAAGAAGAAATAAACATGTGAGCAGGAAAGAAATTGAAAGTATGGAAACTGGACCAAGATGGGGCCTGTGACAGGGAGACAGAGGCCATATTACTTGATGCCAACCCACTTGGTTAAAAATTAGAAATATTCATCCATTAGCCAGGAGTATTATTTCTATCATGCCAATCAAATTAATTTCACTGAATTTTTCCCTCTAGTACAATTTTGTTATAGTCTCTGCACAGCTAGAGAGAACTCAAAACAAAGAAAAGTTTCAGACCATTACCCAGTCAGAAACCTTAACAAATCTCAAGAAGGATAAGCACAAAGAAATGTACTTCTGTACTCATAATCAAACTACTGAAAGACAGAGATAAAGACACAACTATCAGTCTCTACTTGTCCGGAATAAGAGAGGAAGAAAGAAACTAAAGACTAAGAGAAGAAACTAATCTACAGGACTAATAATATACACGAACCACGGCCTCATCTACTCTGAGACCAGAAGAACCAGATGGTGCCTGGCTACCACCACCGACCATTCTGATCAGGGACACAATAGGTGGGTCCTGATAGAACAGGAGAAAAATGTGGAACAGAACTCAAATTCTTAATAAGTCCAGACTTACTAGACTGGTTGTGATTAGAGGACTCCCCGAAGCTGTCACCCTGAGATACTCCTTAAACTTTGAACTGCAACTGTTCCATGAGGTCACCTTTTAACTAAATAACAGATTGGCTCATAAAATAAAGAATATCATCCGTGAGTACTGTGCTACTAAAAAAATCATCTATATGAGACAAAATGGTCAATGTTTACTCTAAAGATGAGAAGGCAAGGAGGCAGGGAAACTAGATTACTGGAAATAGAACAACCAGAATGGAAATAATGAGAACATTGACCCTGTGAAAAATGTAACCAATGTCACTGAACAATTTGTGTAGAAAATTGTTAAATGAGAACCTAATTTGCTATGTAAACTTTCACTGAAAATATAATAATAATTATTTCAAAAAAAAAGAGAAAGAAAATCTCAAAAGAAGCCAGAGAAAATGGCATGTTGCGTCTAGAGGGACAATGGTAAGATTACTGTATTTTTATGCAAATAATTCTCACCTTCTATGTTTGTTTGCCAACGGAGCCCTTGCCCCCGTGAGGTATTTTCAGAAGCACCACTATGTCAATTTTTGTTACATGTTGCTGTAAGAAAACTAGCATAGAGTGATTATGAAAATACCTTGTGGAGGGAGGGCACAGTTGGCAAACAAATGTAGAAGGCATGCATTATTTGTGTAAAAATACAGTAATAGCTGAATTCTCATTGGAATATACGGAAGCTATAAGACACGCTGGAGCCCTGGTGGCGCAGGATTAAGAGCTCAGGCTGCTAACCAAAAGGTTGGCAGTTTGAATCCACCGTCCACTCCTTGGAAACCCTACGGGGCAATTATACTCTGACCTATAGGGTTGCTATGAGTCGGAATTGACTTTATGGCAACGGGTTATAAGACATACTGGAATAACATGTTCAAAATGCTGAAGGAA